AAAGCCAGATATCAACAACAGAAAGCTTACAAACTCATGGAAACTAAACAGCTCTCTACTCAATGAAAAACAGATCAAGATAGAAAATAAGAAAGAAATTCAAGACTTCCTAGAATTGAATGAAAATGAATAGACAACATATCCACCCTTATGTGACACAATGAAGCCGGTTCATAACACTAAGTTCCTACATAAAAAAATAGGTGAGATCTCATGCTAGCCACTTAACAGCACACCTGAAAGTCCTAGTACCAAAAGGAGAACTCATACCCAAGATGATTGGATTACAAGAAATATCAGATTCATGACTGAAATCAATAAAATAAATACAAGAAACGAAGAATCAATGAAACAGAAATTTAGGTTTTTAAGGAAATCAATAAAGACACAGTCTTATCCAAATTAACTAAAAAAACAGGGAGAGAATATACAAATTAACAAAAACGGAGATGGAAATGGGAAGGAACATAGCAGGCATGAAGGATACCAAGAGAATATTAAGGACATTCTATAAATAACCTATTCCACCAAGTTGGAAAATTAAAAGAAATGGATAAATTTCTAGAGACATACCACTTACCAAAATTAAATAAAAATCAGACAAGGAATAGAAACAGACCTTTAACCCCTAGTGAAATAGAAGCAATCATTAAAAGTCTCCCAACCGCCGGGCATTGGTGGCGCACACCTTTAATTCCAGCACTCGGGAGGCTGGGGCAGGCAGATCTCTGTGAGTTCGAGACCAGCCTGGTCTACAAGAGCTAGTTCCAGGACAGACTCCAAAGCCACAGAGAAACCCTGTCTCGAAAAACCAAAAACCAAAACCAAAAACCAAAACCAAAACAAAAAAAGTCTCCCAACCAAGAAAAGCCCAGGGCCAAATGGTGTCAATGCAGAATTCTACCAGACTTTCAAATAAGAGTTAATGCCAACACCCCTCAAATTATTCCATGAGTAGAAACAGAAAAGACATTGCCCAATTTTTATGAGGCCATAGTTACCCTGATACCCAAAATTGGATACCCCAACAAAGATACGTATAGACCCATCTCTCTTAAGAAAACAGATGTAAAAATTCTCATTAAAATACTTGAAAACTGAATCCAAGAACACATCAAAAAGATCATCCACTATGATCAAGTAGTTTTCATCTCAGAGATGCAGGATTGGTTCAATGTATATAAACCTATAAATGTAATTCACCGTATAAACAGACTGAAAGACAAAACCACATCTTCATTTCATTAGACACAGAAAAGGCATTTGATAAAATCCAACAGCCCTTCATGATAAAAGTCCTGGAGATATTAGGGATACAAGGGGCACATCTCAACATAAAAAGACAGTTTACAGCAAGCCCATAGCTATCATCAACTTAAATGGAGAGAAACTCAAAGCGATTCCACTAAAATCAGAAAGAAGACAAGGTTGTCCATTCTCTTCATTCAATATAGTACTTGATGTCTTATCTGGAGCAATAATACAATTGAAGGAGATCAAGGTAATACAAATTGGAAAGGAAGAAGTCAAAGTATCTTTATTTGCATATAACAAGATAGTATATGTACATAAGTGACCCTAAAAATTTCCACCAGGAGACTCCTATAGCTGATAAACACTTTCAGCAAAGTTGCTGGATACAAAATTAACTAAAAAAATCAGTAGCCCTTCTATATATAAATGGCTAACAGATTGAGAAAGAAATAGGGGAAACAACACCTTTCAAAAGAGACACAAATAATATAACCTATCTTGGGATAATTCTAACTAAGCAAGTAAAATATTCATATGATAAAATTTTAAGACATTGAAGGAACTGAAGAAGGTATTTGAAGGTGGAAATATCACCCATGCTCATGGATCAGTATATGATTGATATGGAATTAATATAGTATTATGTATATCATAATATGGTATTATTAATAGGACTAATACAGTAAAAATGTCTGTCCTACCAAAAGTAATCAACAGATTCAATGTAATCCTCATCAAAATTCCAACACAATTCTTCACAGACCTTGAAAGGACAAATCTTGGCTTCATATAGGAGCACAGAAAACCTAGGATAGCTAAAACTATCCCCAAAAGTAAAAGAACTACTGGAGGTGTCACCATCACTGACCTCAAATTTCCATGGGAACCCCCAAACAAGCTAGGTTGTTCTCCTTAAGTGGACAGGAAGGCCACACTGATGAAAACAAAACCTACACAACACATTGAACTTGGAGATGTCTATTTGGTTCTTACATAAAACCTTTACCCCTGCTTTCTAATATTTTTGGTACAGGGAGGTTCTCTCCCTGCTACCAAAGGAGAAACATAAATACCAAGCTAGCCACAAAACCTTTGATTTACAATGGTACCAGCCTACAAGATAGGCTAGTGTAATTGTGAGACAAAGCTTGTAGGAGTAACCAACGAGTATCTTACTCTATGAGATGAAACCTATATTGGACACTCCTGTGTGACCAAGAACCTGAGATGAGATAAACCAGTTACCCTGGGGAAAACCAAATAATACTCGTCTTAAAAAGAGAAAGAAAATAAAGCATAGTAATAATATGACTCCTAATAACATTTTGTTATACTCATAGATCAGTGCCTTGCTTAGCCAGCATCAGAGAAGCTCCCTCCTGTAGCAGATGGGAACAAAAAATTTTATGCAGAGAGTGAGAGACCTTGGAACACTCAGGCCTAAATGGGATGTCTCCATCAAATTGCCTCCTTCAGAGCTCAGGCAACCCTAAAGAAGAGAAAACAGAAAGAGCAGGAGGGAATGAAGAATACCAAGAAAACAAGGCCTTCTAAAGTAACATGATCAAATCACATGTGAATACACAGAGACTGAGGGACCATTCCCAGGGCCTGCACAGGGCCTTTTCATATATATTATGGCTATAATTTAGTGTTTTATGGGATTCCTGAGTATGTGAATGAGTGGGTCTCTGTTTCTCGCACCTTCTCCTGGCCTCTTTTCCTTCTATTTGTTGGTTTTGTCCAATTCCAATGTGCTAGCTTTGTTTTATCTTATATTATATTTTATTATTACAAATTCAGAAATCAAAAAGCAAACGAAATCACATTGCAAGCATCATGAGTCTTTAAATATTCTCATTTTTCTCTTCATGGTTGTTATGAGCCTGTAAACAACATGAGTACCAATCAGGTCCTCCTCAAAAAACAATCAAGCTACCTTTTGGTTGTCGGTTGTTTAAGTTATTTAATAGTTCAGCCTTTTCCAGGAGTTGACAACTGGACGATGTTTGCTATGTGCCAAAACACCGTACTCCAAGCTGCCTGACCACTTTTGTACCTAAATACCTGTAATACTCTTTTAATTCTCTCTCACTGCTCAAATTTGCTGTCAGAAAGCAGCCAGAACAGGCAGAGTGACTTCAAAAATAAATGTAAGTGATCCTGTCCTATCATGCCACTGCTTAAAACTCCTCCATGATTTCCCACGGGCTTTAGGATAAAAACTCAGATTCCGTAACATGCCCCAAACTCTGCCATCTAGCCTAGAGTCTGCCTCTTCAAGGCCCTCGAAAGAACCAAACTCCCATGAGTCTTTGTATACAATTGGCTATGGCTCTATTCCCTATTACACTTAACCATGTTTTCATTAGACAAGCTTTTGTCTTTTTTTTGGTTTTTCGAGACAGGGTTTCTCTGTGTAGCTTTGGAGCCTATCCTGGCACTCTCTCTGTAGACCAGGCTGGCCTCGAACTCACAGAGATCCGCCTGCCTCTGCCTCCCGAACGCTGGGATTAAAGGCATGCACCACCAACGCCCCGCAAGCTTTTGTCCTTCTTAAATTCCTGTTCCAAGTCGGTGCTCCTTGTTCAGCTTGCTATTAGCACCTCCTCCTCAATTGTAGTTTGTATAGAAAGGACCAGATCTGATTCCTTCCCATTTTAAATAAAATGCCCTGCATAAGTATAGGTAATAAAGTCGTTCAGGGAGCCCTAAATCCAATTGTGCTTGATTAAGACCCAACTACCACAGGTGTACACATTTTCTTATCCTGGAAGAATATTTTTTTGTCTATTTATTTTGTCGTGGCCAAGTGTTATGTATGGGAAACCAAGGTTTAGCCAGAAAATACAATATTTCACAGGAAATTTTACATATCTCGGCCTTTTCCCTCTACGGGCAGACCGTTCAGACCTCGGAATTGACTACTTGAACTGGGCTTCCCTTCCCACATGTAATCGGCATAAATCTGCAAACAGGAGTGACATTACCCAATTTACATGAGTGTAATAGCATTCGTTTATTCAGTAAAGTTCTAATGTGTGTATCTAGTTTCGTTTCTGAGAATAAAAATGATATTTTGGATGTTAAACGCTTAGTGTGTAGCTCCGTTAGAGACTATTACTGTTACTTGTGTTGCCAAAAATGTCCGTTGACGTTGGCGTGTGTCACAGAAGTTATGGTGTCACTATCCGCTCAAGGTCCCTGCATGGCCAGCATCTCTTCAGAAGTAGATGCGCTCCCAACACCTCGCAGTGTGCGGCGTGGCCGCTCTTCCAATCAAAACCGCTAGAGGGCGCGGGGCCACCTACCGCCTCGACCACGAGATCTACGCTTGCGCCGCATTGACACCGCTTCCGCATTCCTCCTTCCAACCACCTTTCGCCCCGCCCCGCGCCTCAACGCCCCGCCTCCGTTGCCCCTAGCGTCTGTTTGTTGACTTCCGGGAGCGCACTAGTGGTCGATGCCAAGAGGGTCGCGATGGGGGCCTCGGGGGCTAGGGCAGTACCTTAGGCCCAATAGAGTCGCCCCTGCTGTCTTTCCGAAGCAGGTACAGATTCCCTTCAAGGTTTTCGGCATGGCGGAGCCTGAGTCGCTGGTACCTGGTGAGTCGCGCCCCGTTCGTGGCGGCTGGCGGGGGGGGGGGGGCTCGCGGGGGGGGGGGGCGCGCG